TTCTTGCCTTGTTCTCGTGTTGTTCTCGCCTTGTTCTCGTGTTTTTCTAGTTGTCCTTCTTGCCTTGTTCTCGTGTTGTTCTCGCCTTGTTCTCGTGTTTTTCTAGTTATCGTCCTTGCCTTGTCTCGTGTTGTTCTCGTGTTTTTCTAGTTGTCGCCCTCGCCTTGTTCTCGTGCTGTTCTTCTCTTGCGACCTGATCTCTTCCATATGTTATGCATATATCGATTCACAATTGACATGCACTTTGCTATCTTAACAGTCCAGCGGTAATGCGGATGAAAAATATTAAAAGCACAACAACAGACGACAAAGAACAGCAAGACACCGACAACAGTTACGAAAGACTCAGCCACATCGCACCAAGACGTGAAGTACCTGAACAATATGATGAACTAAATAGATCATCACAGCCAAGTTCCACTAACAATATGTCCCTACCTGAGAATGACCCCGAGAATTTTTATCATGTACTCGAGGGTACTGATCAGTCGGTAGATGACGAGACGATGTATCAAGTAATCGATAAAGACCCGTGTGAGGATGATTTGTACGAAAGGAATGTTTTGTACGACAAGTAAGTTGTATTTTGGATGTATTTGGGATCCCTGTGGATATGGTATGATGAAAGGAAAGGAATACCGTAAACTGATTGGTTGATTAGATTTAAATGTATAAGCACAAACCGCGCAATCGCAAGAAACTGTAATATCAATCTCGTACCCAGAGCCTGCGTTCTCTTTCGGTCAGAGACGAGAACGCTGCTGACCGAAAGAGAACGCAGGCTCTAGGTACGAGATTGTTGTAATATATAAGTCAGCAAAGGGTCTTGCGGAAAACGGAAACGACAAAAAATAAATTATAAATACAGACAAAAACTATTTTGTTTATTTTCTTGTTTATAAAACTATTATTTGTTCTTTGTTTTTTCAGTGTGGCTTAGATAACTTCATGCCAGGGAAAACAAAAATGCATACAGGACGATATGAACTAATAAACAAAAACATCAACGTTTTAATTTCTGTTTGATTCAATTAAACTTTCATTATGTTATAATTTTTATGATGCCAGTTAGCCAGATATTGATGATTACATCAATGATAATGAAGATGATGGTGATGAAAATGATAAGGGATGATGATGATGACGACAATAAAGATGATGATGATGATGATGATGATCATAATGATGAAGATGACAATAATGATGACGATGATGATGATGATGACAATAATGATGATGATGGTGATCATAATGATGATGATGACAATAATGATGATGATGATGTCAATGATGATAATTTCAAGGTCTCTTGTTTATTCCTTTTTTTCAGTCCACTGTTAAAATTATAATCCAGAAACAACTATTCCTTTCCAATATTTGATCATAAATCACTCGAGCCTCATATCAAATCCAATAACCCCCATTAAACTCCAGCAGCGCTTTATACAAGAACAACAACACCTTATTATGCATCTCTAAGTATCTCACACTTGATGAGTTCCGGGGCGCTTCAAAAGACGATTAGAACAATACACACCCTTCATACTCCTGCAGCACTCCATGCCGTGACATAATGGCGGACACGAAACTTATCGTCTATCTTTTAATACTTTCCTACTGTATGTGCTACTCACAAGGTGAGAATATCTATTAATACAGTTGTTTTAATGTATAGTGTGTGAATAGTGGTATTTAAACTGCGTTAATGACCATGTAGCGTGATGGAGTTATATTATTACTTTGTGGTGACATTCACGGGTCTAAATCAGTGTCAATGATGTGATTTATTTATATAAAGATTGAATTCATAGGTGAGAWTTATAGATGGTGTGATCTAGGGTGTAAGACTAGTAGCTTTTAACTAAAGTCATTGATCTTCTAAACGATGAGAAATTGAGCAAGTTACTTTGTTATTGAATTCAAGACATGTGGCGGCTGAAGTTAATGTCTGACTATTGATTGATTTTCTCAATCGCGTTATCTTTATTGTTCTAACACTCGCATGTTACGAGAAATATGTCTATACATCCCGTTGACGTTAGGAGCGTATAAATAATCGCAAGTTTGGGATGATAAATTAGTCTTAATAGATTCTTAAACAATAGTTTATAATCCATGGAAAGTTACAGTTGAATAGGTCGATWTACTAGGAACAATATGCCTGAACTCAACCAAGCGTTCAAGGTGCTGAGATATTTTTAAACAAATATAATATGTACACAATTGAAATCGAATAAAACCAAAATGGCTTCTTTATGTTGCTGGGGATGTTATCTCTAAAAATCAATGTTCTTATCTAAAATAGAGAGTTGTTTTATTGTTTTTAATGATAACAATTTTCCTATCAATTTCCTCTTTTTATAATTGGGTTACGGTGTGACCATCATTCTTTGTTGGCCACAATGTACAGGAGTGTCTGCTCTAAGCAGGATGCATTCGTGGCCTATTTGTCCTATTAGGTCATCAATGTGTGCCTGTTTTAAGAACAGTCATACAACAATCCTAAAGAAACATGGGGTATGAAGTCGTAATTAATAAGTATGGTGAAGTGCGTTAAAAAGGTAGCGAATGAATGCTACCAGTTGTAACTATAGATAGCGATGCATGTTATTAAAAGCACATATGGTCCACCAGCATTCAATGCGGTCGTGTTTTAGATTTTTCATTTATGCAAAAATAAGGTGACTTCAAATATCCATTCGCAATTCCTTTTCATCCGTCATTTTAAAGATTGCATCTTACAACATCTCCATTTATATAACATTAAGGGATAATAAAAAAGAGCAAGTTTTTTTTCTTGTATTACGATGTATTTTTATTTTCAAACATAAAAAAATCTCGAAAGGGATGCTTGTTAACCATGGACCTTAAAAGCCGGAGAAGACTGTATCAATTTAAGCAATTATCATTATTGTAATCATTTTTTTTGATATTTTATTCTAGGTTCTCTTCTTACGAATCAAGGAAATAACTTCATTATCGGTTTCTCAGCTCAACACTTTTCCTACTCAACCAACGGTACTAACCGCATTTACCTGACATCAGATACGGCCGCTACCGTACGTCTACGAGCTCCAGCAATCTCCCTYGATACAARCATAAAACTATTGCCCGGTATACCCCGGCATGTGGACTTACCAGGTAAAGCCCGCATGAAAAGCAAAACAGGTGTCGAAAWGAAAGGTATACAATTAACTTCAAAAGAGAACTTTGCCGTTTACGGAATGAACTTGTTGACGAAATCAAGCGATGGGTTTCTTGGGCTTCCTGTGTCGGCCTTGGGGACTGATTAYGTYATATCCACGTTCATTCCAGTGATGAAATCTGCTTTACTAGTAGTTGCTACTGAAGATGATACAAGGGTTGCAATTGATCTAAAACTCCCCTCAGGGGGTAAGGTGTCGTACAGAAATCGAGACTATTTTGACGGCTCTAGAATTTTAGTAATTTTGAAGGTGTTAGAAGCATTTCAGATTGACACAAACGCTATGGTCGATTTATCGGGTACAAGAGTTACTAGCGACAAACCCGTCTCCGTCTTCTCGGGCTGCGACTGCGCGTACGTACCAGTGAATAAAGGATCATGTGATCACCTCGTGGAGCAGATTCTCCCAGTAAAACTRCTAGGGACTCAATTCATTACTATAGCAACAGCCAATCGCACGGGGGGAGATTTATATCACGTGATAGCCGCTCAAGATGGAACGGTTGTTACTGTTGATGCTAAAGCTGTCAAGACGATTCAAGCTGGACAGCGGTTTGAACTGGATTCGAAATACAATGAAAGTCACGTKATTTCKACTAGTAAACCTAGCCTTGTGATGCAGTATGCAAAGAGCTATAGCGTCGATAACAGCATATTTGATCCATTCATGTCGACTGTGCCTGCGATCAGTCAGTACAGCAACGATTACAATGTATTTATTCCGGTTCATTTATCAAATCAGCAGTTTTTTAGCTTTGTGAGCATCGCTGCAAAGACACAAGAATTAGATAAAATTACAATCACCCAAAACAATCATCCTAATTTGACTCTMCGATTCTCAGACTGCTCTGTAGTACAAGGTTCGTCTTATTCTGTCTGCACAAAACAGTTAAATCAAGGAATTTATCGAATTTTTCATCAATCGGTCACAGAAAAGTTTGCTCTGGTAATGTATGGAACCTGGCGTAGAGAGTCCTTTGGTTTCCCTATGGGACTTCGATTTGAAAGTCCAGGATGTAAACTAGGCCACATGATACCAGGGGATGGGATTGACAATGACTGTGACAATTCAACCGATGAGGAGATTTTCAACAACATGGACGACGACGGAGATGGGCGAATTGACGAGGACTTAGCAACTAAGCCTCCAAGCCTAACAGTTCCAAACAACATCACTAAATTGATTTGTAATAACTCTTCTTTCGACCATAGGGACATCGGCCAGGCAACTGGTGAAGCGTGCGGTAAGTGCAAACTACGCGGACATGTGAAAATCAACTTCACGGATATTKTSAACCGYAMTGAGTGTCAYCTTTCCATTGCTCGCAAATGGACAATTACCGACGGGTGCTCGAACATCAAAGAAACTAATCAATACATCTTCGTAAGATTTCCGTCAAAGACAATTGTAGAGTTTCCCAAAGATTTGTCGATGAGTTGCCGAGAAAAGACCGRGCTCTCTACGAGTCATACCGGARAAGCTAAAGTAATTTCCAATAGGTGTGATACGAAGGTAAAGATTCGTTACCAGGACTCCATGTTTTATCCATGTACACTGACGRAGAGAAAGCTGGAACGAGATTGGATTGTCAGTGATGAATGTGGACGTTTGACAAAACACAAGCAAGTTATTCGTTTATTGCCCTTAGGTAAGAAATAATTTCACCATTTTTCATCGTTGTTCACCTTTTATATTCATCAGTTTTCTTTCTTTCTTAGCTGTACAAATCCCACGGACATTGAGAAATTTCAAAATTTCATTGAATGTTCAATCTGATGTCTTAACCAAGAACAATGAGACAGTCGACCAATTAATAACTAGAGTCCAAAATCAGGTATAGTAATATTTCTGGCCTGTCTTCCTGGTCTTCCTGGTTAAGTGTGGTACCACATCTGCGTTTAATTTTAGCGTAAAAMCAATATAATTTTTGATGTGACGTCATATTGAAAGAKAATGATTCTTATTGTTTTTTTATTCTCAGATCGATAAAACCATAATGTCTTCATCACTCGCGCATATTTATTTCGGAAGCTCCATTTCTCAATACAGGTACGATCCAAGTTCTGTAGGCTTGTTTTGTTTAGTCATTGTTTAATCGTGATTATTTTTGCTTTTAGAACAATTATTCCAAACCGATCTGCAATTTTCATCGTTAGATTCCAGAATACTTCATCGCCGATGCCTGATGAAATCCTTACTAATCTTCGTATACCGTTTGCGGGGATACTTTCAGATATTGTTAACAACATTACAGTACAAGGTTAGAAAACTCTCTCCTTTTTAAGGACGATTTAGACGGCACAACTTTTGTCTACTAACAACCATCGCATGCAACCTGCGTAAGTCATGTCTACAACTGTCGTAGGGATATCAAATAATTGTTTTTAATCTCTACGACAGTTGTAGCCATATTGTAAGGATGACTTAAGCAGGTTGCATACGATGCCGGTTGTTGACAAAAGTTGTGCCGTCTAAATCGGCCTTTATGCTATCAAAACGTCTGCAGCAGGGATGAATACCGCGCGCAACTAATGCAAGAAAGTGAGAATTTTATCTTTTTTTTTCTTACAGATTACAATGAATGTGGGTCAATTAGTTACAAAAATTACTGCGCTAGACAAGCCACTTGCGTTAACACCTTGGGCTCATTCAGCTGTGTCTGTTCTCCAGGTCTTGTAGGCGATGGTTTCGTGAAATGTGATGGTAGGAGACTGAGGCAGTGTTTCCGTGTTGTTACTATGACAACATGTATATTGTGTACATTAAAATCAGTATTTTTGTAAAAGTTTTATTATTGAACTGTTTCAGC